CTCACATTCACCGTGAAGGAAATAGAGTAGCGGACTTTCTAGCCTCTTACTCTTATGGTTTCTCTTGGGTAATTCAGGAATTTGATTGTCCACCGTCAGGTTGTATTGATTGTCTGTATGGTGACACTATAGGTGTTCACTGGTCTAGGCTTTGTGCCTAGTTTCTTTTTGTTGTGTTTTTGTTTTAATTTCCTATTATTTCCAAAAAAAGAAATTCAGTACGAAGTATCCCTCCTTGCTCTCGGGAAAACGAGGATTAATTTCCTTTTTCCACTAAAAAACAATATTGTCTAATCAGGTAACATAATTCAATTATTCATTTTATATGATGATTGGCCAAAATTATTGAAGGCCAGGTTTTGGTTTCAGATTTCTATAGATCATAGGGATGTTTGAATTGTGTTTCCAAAAACAATAATTTTAATTTTCAGAATAAAAAAAACTTGTTTATAAAGACTTATTTTATGTTATCAAAAAAAAAAGACTTATTTTATAAAATTAGTTCTACAAATTATAATTGTTTTTTATTTTTAAAATAATATTTAGAGAACGTGTCTGTCTAAGTTGTTGTTTTTTTATATTTACTTTAACTCTCAAGATACAACAAAACATATATTTCCTTATCTACTCTACGAAACAGTTTTAAGAATAAAAAAATATATTATCGTGAGGGGCAAAAAAATTAATTTATTGTTTTTTAAATAAAAATTACGAATTTATGGCAGTTTCGGATATAATTACACATTTATTGCACAATATCACGTCCAATTTGGGCGTCACCAATCACGCCTAAATTGGGCATCACTCATCAGACACGTGTCACAAAAAATTAACAATTTAATCGTAAAACTTCTGAAGGTCATAACTTTTAACTCGGGTATCCGAATCAGGTAATTTTTTTTTTGATTCCATATAACTTTCCGAGATCTACGTAATGACACCTCATTCGAAATATTTTATCTCTCACAAACATAATTTGAATTTTGTAACAATGAGACTTTATCTTTTAAGTTGTGGTCTGAATTTGCAAAATTAATTTTTATAAACGCAATTCAAATATGCCCTATATCTTTTGGAATTTGAAACCCGAACCTGGTCTCCAATAAATTTGGACAATCATCATATAAAATGAATAATTGAATGAGGAAGGATATTGAAACAACCAATTAGTGTTACTACCAATCAATTTCACCGTTCGATCAATTATGTTGATTCAACGGTTATATTTATTTTCATCTTTGTATAGTTTTGATTTCTCATATTTAATGTGAAAGCATTAAATATCGAAAATCATAACTATACAAAGGTGAAAATAAATATAAAGTATTAAATATTGGAAATTATAACCATACAAAGATGGAAATAAATATAACTATTAAATCAACAGAATTGATCTAATGGTAAAATTGATTGGTAGTAACACTAATTGGTTGTTTCAATATCCTTCATTATTCAATTATTCATTTTATATGATGATTGGCCAAAATTATTGGTGTCTAGGTTCGGGTTTCGAATTCCAAAAAATATAGGGCATGTTTGAATTGCGTTTTCAAAAATAATTTTTTAATTTTCAGAAGAAAAAAATTGTTTGATAACGTTTGTTTTGTAAAACTAATTCTAAAAATGATTACAATTTTTTAGCTTTTAGAATAATATTTAGAAAATATATCTAAATTATTTTATTTTATTTTTGATTTTTAATTTTCAAAATACAAAAAACACAGAACATATATATTTGATTAACTATTTTACAAAACAGTTTTAAGAAAGAAAAAAAAATTATCGTGGGAGCTGTGCAAAAATATACAAATTTCAAAAGAATGTCTTCATTTATGTCAAATACTAACTTAATGTGTTACATGAAGTCGTAATATAAGAATTTCTTCCAATCCATTTGTGAAATATGAATGCTTTGGGATTAACGTTACAGTAGTTATTATTAGTTATTTTATATTTAAAATAGATTATAATAAAAATATTATTGAAAGAAGTTTTAAAAAATTCCTAAATTAAAGCTAAACATCAGTGAATTCAGGTGGAAAGATTAACATGCCAATTTCTCGTTTAAATTCTTCATAGCTAAGTAATAATAAGTAAAAGGTGTAAATGGATCAGGTGATTTAAGAGGGGTACATTTTATATCATGTCGGATTCGGCTTATTATATATAGTCAAATAGAATAGACTCAAGCTTTAAAAAAGTATATTTAGAAAGAAGGTTATAGACTTTCTTTTACATGCCGGACTTGTAAATCTGCAGGTCGGCCTATATCATATTATTTATTTTAAATAAAATTACTATTTTAATGATTTTAAATAATAAAATACTATTACTTTAATTACTTTTTTTATTATTGAACGTCTAATAAGCTTAAACAAGCTAACGTGCCTAGGCCAAGATTTTTATTTTTTTAAATATAGGTCAAGCCAAATTTATAATTTGGATCTACACAAGGTTAATAGACCAGGTCAAACTTAAATTATTTTACACAAACCTAATCTATTTAAGGCAAAGCTCAGCCCCGTCCGACCTATTTACATCATTACTAATTAGTAAACAATAAAAAAGCCTAATAAGGACGCCATAAAATTAGCAACTACATATATCATATGGAAGAAATATTGCATTCGTCAAGAGCTCTACAAAAAGAACCCAGGAAATGATTTGGGGTGAAATTGGGCCGAGCCGGCCCACAGGGTCCTACACCTCAGCCTACGTTAAGTCAGATCTGACCTAGTATATTTTGTAAAATAAGTCAGGCTCCGGCCTTGGAAAAAGCTTGTTTAATAAATAGGCGATATGCCCACCTTTACAAGGCCTGACCTATAAGCATACAGATTGGCCTATATTTAGGGGTGTTCGCGGTCTGGATTGGATCGGTTTTAGAAGCAAGAATCATTCGATCCAATCCCTTCGGTTTGATCACATAATCATCCATTCAGTTTGGACTTTTTTTCAAATCCAATCCAATCCAATTTTTTTCGGTTTGGATTGGATTGGTTTTCGGTTTTTTGAAAATCCTAAAATTTGTTTCTTGATTATTGCTCAAATAACATCTTTTGTATATATTAGCTTTGTAATTTTATTTTTTTTAAATACAAAAGTATCAATAAACGATAATATAGATTTTTTTTTTTTTGGACAATAAGATATGAAGCTCTACATATATGAAATTTTGTTGATTAGATGTGACTAGATTTTTTCTTGAGTTTAGTTGATGGGTTAATGGATTTTGGGTTTAGAAATTTTTGAGCTATGATGGGGGAAAGTCTCAAGTAGGTAGAGGAAAATTAATATATTGGATCGTTTGGATTGGATCGGTTTTCATCTACCCATCCGAAAACTGATCCAATCCAATTAAAATTTACGATTTTTTTTCAGTTTTTGGTTTTTCGGTTTTCGGTTTATTCGGTTTTTCAGTTCGATTAATGCGGTTTGGAGCGGTTGATGAACATCCCTACTTGTATTGTACTATTTATTTTAAATAAAATAAAATAAGTATGACTTGAAAAAAAATATAAATTTAATCAACTAAAATTCTTTTATAATTTAATTATATTTGATTAAATTTTAATAAAAATCTAACTTTATTTGGCACGTAGGAGAAATCAACATCTTAGCATGTTAGATTGTGTATATGAATATATTAAAAGATTTTTGGGAGAGGTTATACTTACTATTTTTTTTTTACTATCAAATTTTAACCGCTGATTTCTGTCAATCTAACGTATATAATTTATTGGATCACACTATTTAATTAATTATTAATTATCAGTAAATTATAGCTGTTAGATTTACGAAAATCAACGGTTAGGATTTGGTAGTAAGAGGTAGTAAGAAAAAATTGTAGTAAGTATAACCTTCCCAAGGTTTTTTGTTTCTTAATCTTTTTTGTTTCTATTCTTTAATCTTATTTTTTGTTTTCTACATTTACAAATTGTTTGCCTACTTACGTAACATTGAAATTGTATTTGCAGAGGAGAGAACATGATAAGAAATTTTTGGCTACTACAAGTATCATGTTGTGTTTGTTAGATTCATGTAATTATTTTAATTTACATAGTATGCATTTGTTTGTTAGATCTAATGAAATATATACTATTTAGTTTGAACATTTTGATTTTGAGAGTGACTTAAATGCAAATTGTGATAAATTGTTATTGTGATTTATGACTTTTTTGGACGTTGAAACTGTGGTTTTTGTTTTAACAACATAATTTGAGTTTTTTTTGTGAAATTGATTCTTAATTTTGCTAAGAAGTTAAAATTAACAGGCTAACCGACCATGTCAGACTATTTATTTTTTTTATAAATAGGTCAGCTAACAGCAGACTTGGTTAGATCAAATTAAAAAAATTTATCATAGATTTAAGCTGGTCGGGACAATTCTCGACCTTGTCCGAAACTTTGACTGTAAGTGCAATGATGTGTTAGACTCATGCTGGAGCTCGCAATGATGTGTTAAGACTCATGCTGGAGCTCATGCTTGAATTAGACAAATAGCAATTGAGTCGGCATGGTTTACCAGCACTTGTTTAACGGTTAACTAATACTTCAATTAAGTGAAGTAGTATTTAAAGTCTTTAAGAGCTAATATTTTATATTATAAATTAATTAAGGTGCTGAAATTTTAGCATACTGATTAAGGACATTGATTTATTAAAAAAAAATAGGCATTAATAAAAGAGAAAATATACTCTTATGTTGTAGGAAAAAATTTATCTTTTCTATATATACATTGATTTTCGTGTTAATTTTTTATTTTCTTTTTCTTTTTCTATAATAAATGGATCCTACTATAATTATCTCTATTGCATGAAAAAATTCTATTAATAAAGCCCTTAATAAAAATATTCAAAGGGTAAAAATATCTAATTGATACATATAAATTTGCAATATATGGACTAAACACGCAGTACATATGACTTGTTGATAAACGTCAGAATTTTTTAATTAAATTAGAACTCCATAATAATATTATAATAAGGGGAAAATGTTTTGTAGGTGTACGAGGAAGAAGGACGCTATAAAATTGTTGGCTTCCCAATGTTTTGTTCTACAAGTCGCATGTTGTTGGGTAGAAGTAGAACTATAAGATTAGCTGCTCCTCTTTGTTGTTCTCTGTCCAACCTCAACGCCATCTCGCGTCCTTATCGTCATCATATTTCATTGTTTAGTGTTCCAATCAAACCAGTTCTTTCAACTCCAACCCATTTGTCTTTTACTTTCCGAACAGATCACACTATGACCTCTCAATCAGTCCATGATTTCACCGTTAAAGTATGTTATATTGCTCCTTTCATTCGTTTTACTTTATTTTATTAACTTTTTTTCTTTGATTTTGCAGGATACCAGAGGAAATGATGTTAATCTTGGCCACTACAAAGGAAAGGTCCTTTTGATTGTCAATGTTGCCTCACAATGGTACCTTCTCACAATTTCTCATTTTTCTCATGCCCCCCCCTCCTCCCATAAAAAGAAAAATAAACCCTCGTTTCAATTTTAGTGAATTTATTAGGGTGGATACCTAAATTTGATTAAATATTTCACTCAAAGGTGCAAGCTTTATGTTGACGCGGTTCCAAATCTAATGAACTGCCTTATTTATTTTTTCCCCCAAAACTGGCACTGTTAAGTCATAAAGGTTTAGAAATTCGAGAGTTCTGCCCTTGATTTTCTTCCAATGTAATTCTTTGTGCAATATTTTGATGTTCATTCAATGTTTGATGTAGTGGCTTGACTAATTCAAATTACACGGAGCTGAGTCAGTTGTATGCGAAATACAAAGAGAAAGGTTTGTCTTTTCTTCTGTTCTTAACTTCTTATGCTGTTTAGCCATTGTTTTCCTTCTGCTCTGTTTCTTTCTTTTTGTCCCCATTATTGTTGTGTTATCTTAGTTCTTCTTAGTATTTGTCAACGCTCAGATACCGGTACTTGCATATTAATTATACACAATGGTTGTTGCGAACCCTTAATATTGGCTTGTGTTTTTATATCCTTGAAAATTAATCATTATTAATAGACTAATTGGACAACTTGGCTATACATACCACACTTATTTTAAGTTTCAAGCAACTAACTCATTGTGGGGTCGCTTCGTCCTTCTAAAATACTTGTTATTCTTTACTCAGGTCTTGAAATTTTGGCATTCCCATGCAACCAGTTTGGGGCACAGGAGCCTGGAACTAATGAACAGATACAAGAGTTTGCATGTACTCGCTTCAAAGCTGAGTTTCCCATTTTTGACAAGGTAGAATCTTAGCTTATTCTCACTGCACTGCCTGTGATTTCATTCTTATGCATAAACATCAGTTCCCTGCTGTTCTTATATTCCTGATAGAAGAAATGCTGTGATCATTGCATTAGCTCCTTAAATACAATTTTTTGGGGTTTAGCTCAAATCTTGTGTGTGAGGCTCATGTGCTTGCTGTTAACCTCCAAATCTCAAATCAGATTCCCTTGAGCATATTCTGAATGGGTGCTGTTATCAACTTTGTGTGAAAAATAGATATTATATCAGGAGAGCAGTTGACTCCTTCCGTGATCTTCTGCACTCTAAGTCCTGGTTGTGTAATGCATTAATATATGAACTATTGAAGCTTAGATGAAAAATTGGCTTCAAGACTTTGTATTCTTGGTTGATCCGGTGTTGTTTTGAACATGCTCTAGTTAGAAAGAACAAATATTTCAGTTTCGTCCGTATACATATGTTTTTACCGTATTGTTAAATGTATACAAAGATCATGTTTATTTGCATGTAATATAGGTTGATGTGAATGGTGGCAATGCTGATCCACTCTACAAGTATCTAAAATCAAGCAAAGGTGGACTCTTCGGGGATGATATCAAGTGGAACTTCTCTAAGTTCCTTGTTGATAAAAACGGGAATGTTGTTGAACGTTATGCACCCACAACTTCTCCTCTAGGCATTGAGGTAAGACAATTTGTATGACGGCACAAATAATCTTGCCTAAACATACTTGAAATTTTCACACAAACAATTTTTCCTTTGCTGGTGTCTGCAGAAGGACTTAGTGAAGCTGTTGGATGCATGAAGCTATGAATGACTGGAGCTGCCAATAAATGAATAATGATTAGACTACTATTATGAATAAAATATGTATTGTGGATGTTGGTGCAATTTCCTCCTTTTCGTATGTGTACCGAAACCGTTGTTCCTGTATCTCTGATAATAGTTCATCTTCATGAAATTGTGGACTTATTACTACTATATGAGTGTAAATGATTGCTTAGGCTTCGCTTAGCCCTACGCAGTGGTTTGCTTATTGGTCAAACTTAGACGCAAAAATTTGCCCACTTGTCTTGTGATCTAGAAAAACTCATGTTTTAAAATAATTTCTGTTTTTTGAATTTGTTAAGATATATTGTAATTATCAAATGAAAAAATGGTTCAAGTTGTTATATAATAACATAATAAAATTTATATTTGGTATATAATAAATGAGAAAAAAAAAGTTCTATCACATTTACATAAAAGAAAATGGGTTTCATTATAATGAAAAGAGAGAGAGAAAAAATTAATGGGACATGATGAGATTTATTTATTTTTATATGACTGTAACAAAAAAAATTATAGCAAAAATATAAATAATTAAATACTTTTCCCATTATAAATATAATAATAGAAAATTATAATTAATAAGTTATAACTTATAATGGCTTAATGGTTGGTGTTACTTGTGAAAATCAGACCGGACCGATCGGGTTGACTCGGAATTCGGTGAACCAGTCATCTGACCGACCTGGTTATCACATGGGATCGGTCAGGTATCAAAATCGGTGACCCGACCTGTTAACCAGTGACTCGGCCCGGGTTTAAAACAAAATATTTTAAAAAACAAAATGTTTTCCAAAAAAAAATCATAATTGACATATTTAAGTGATCTGTTACTTATTGACTTACATAAGTTATGTACCTACAATACTAATATCATCTCAGTTATGCACTATGCATGGAATTTTGATTTGATAGTTAGATATGTCGTTTACCGAACTTGAAACAACAATATAACAAGCATTATGTGTTTGTTTGATCATTTATTAGACAATAATGTATAATTTATTATTTTTTATAATAAAATATTTAGAATTTATATTATTTTTTCAGCTATTTGAGTATATTTATAATTTTTTTAATATAAATTATATATTTATATGTAATCACCGGGTCATGCAGTTGAACCAATGACCCACTGGTTGAACCAGTGACCCAGTACCTCGACCGGGCCGGTTTTAATAACATTAGTTTTTTTTTGTTTTTTTTTTTATAACAAACATTAGTTTTATGTGTTGATATTCTTTACTCTTTAAAAAAAATATTTAACGATATTGATTCTGTTTTAAAAAAATAGTATCAAAATTTGGAGAAGCTCCTAGGTGCTAAAAGATTTTTGAATAGGATACTTTCATGTAATAAGACCATTTTGTCAGAGGAAAATAAATATAATTTTAATTGGAATGAATTTTTATATTTATTATAAAACTAGCTAATAATTACATTAAAAGTTATAACGTATTTCATTTTCAATAAGAAAATTTAAATTTAAAAGTTTTCGCAACACTATATAATTAAATGCAATAGAAATAAAAAAAAATGCGTGACAAAGGATGCAAATTTTACATTAACTCCATAATGGGTCAATTTAATATCTAGATTTGAAATTCTTGAAGGTTTTTTTTTTTTTTTCATCCTTTAGGACTAATCCGGCCGGGGCTGAGAGCAACAAAGGTACTCCCCCTCCCAACAGATGCGCTTCTCGGGTGTAGAACTTGAGTCCTCCACCTTACGGAGACCAAGCATGCTTCCACTTGACCAACACCTTGTTGGTTTGAAGGTTTCTTCGTACATGTAAAAAAGTAAGTTTGATTTCACCAAAAAAAAAAATAAGTTTGAAGGCTAAGAGTGTGTTTGGCATATTATTATTTTAGTTAAAAACTATTTGAAGTTAAAATAAAAATAAAAATAAAAAATAAAGATAAAATATATTTGATGATTATACAAAGTTGTTCAATGTTTTGAAGGAGGGAAGATAAGATAATTTATTATTAGAAAGAATGATTAAAGTAAAAGATAAAATTTATAAATATAAATTTAGAATAAGAGTAAAACTATAAGGCTTTTTGACCCTTTTGTCCCTCATTAAATAATTAATAACCAATTTGCCCCTCCTGGAACTATCCACCATCCTGCCCCCATTTAGTCGATTAAGTTGCACTTTTAATCGACTAAATGGGCAAAACTCAGAAATCATGAAACGCGAAATTTAGTCGACTAAATACTCACCTTAATCGACTACATTCGTTGCACTTTTAGTCGACTAAGTCCATTATTTAGTCGACTAAATGTCGCAGAAAACCCTATATCCAGACCTCTCTCGATCTCATTTTCATTATATTCGAAATCAAAACTCCTCTTTCTCTTGTTTGTCAGTTGTGATCCTTCCAATCACCCTTCCATTTCATCCCACCACCTCTAAGGCATAGTAATTGTGAAATCATTGTCATTTCCCTTTATTTCTCAATTGTTTCCCCCAAATCCGAACCCAAAACCCTAAAATCTGATTCCTACCCCCAAAATTCGTGTGAAAGATGAGCTCAAGTCCAAACATGGTAGAAGGCTCGTACATGCAGCTCAGAATATGAACACGACAGTTCAGCCAAGGTCCTAAGATGTGATTCCTCCAACCACCTCACAATGTTAAAACCTTCTTGTTCAAAAAAGGCTGTATCAAGTGATTTGGCCCCACATATGGGTCGGTTAACAAAGTCACGGACAAATGATTCATGAACCACGGGGTCATTCTCGAACAAGTATCCGAATGGGAGGTCGACAGGAGCGGGCTCTTTCTCTTGTGGCCTTGACGAAGACGGACGGTCTTGTCGTAGCTTCTGTCGTCTCTCATTTCCAATGCTAGACGATCTTCTACGGCCAGCCATGGGAACAACTGTACCTACAATGCAAGTGGAAACAATATCAATGAACAATAACAATATCAAAAAATTTAAAATTCAATATAAAAAACAAAACCTAATCCTAAAATAAAACAGAAAACAAACCCTATACCTATACCATACCATAAAAACAGGAAACGTAAACCCCAAACCCAATCAAAAACAGCACCCCAAACCCTAACCCTAATCCTAAAACAGAAACCCTAACCCTAGCACATCACAAAAAACCATTCCTAGCCCCTAACATAAAAACATCAACCCTAACACTACAACCCAAACAAAACAGCAACATAAACCCTAACCTTAAGCCTAATGTACCACATCAACCCTAACCCTCACCATCACAACAAACTTAACACCCTACCCCTAACCTAAATCCACAAAACCGCAAACAGAAATCAAATGCATGGAGAAAAAAAAAAAAACCTAAACCTAAAACCAAATGCAAGTCAGAAAACGTTACCTAAATGTCGATTTCACAAGTGTGAACCAATGATGCTTCAATCGCACCTTCAAGGGTTGAGATTCAGACTTAGTTGGAGAGAGGGGACGAAATTGAGCGATTTAGTCGATTAGGGTTTGAAAATAACCCCCTTTGCAAAATGGGGGGTTCTAAAAAACCTGATCTGCGACATTTAGTCGACTAAATAATGGACTTAGTCGACTAAAAGTGCAACGAATGTAGTCGATTAAGGTGAGTATTTAGTCGACTAAAATTCGTGTTTCATGATTTCTGAGTTTTGCCCAGTTAGTCGATTAAAAGTGCAACTTAATCGACTAAATGGGGGCAGGATGGTGGATAGTTCTGGGGGAGGGGCAAATTGGTTATTAATTATTTAATGAGGGGCAAAAGGGTCAAAAAGCCAAAACTATAAAATAAATGTGAGAAGTCAAAAAAGCTGACAATCATCTTAAAAAAATATTCTTTTGAGAGCTTTTAATTTTTTTTTTCATTATAAAAAAATTTCTTTCTATTATAAGAACTTTTATAAAAATATATTTGATTAAATTTATATTTTTAAAGAGAAGAAAAGTTAAAAATAAGATGGGATATGTTATTCTACCTATCTCTTTTTCTGACTACCTTTGCCTACCATACTAAAACACTATTATATCAGAATCTTAACTAACATTTATATTTCTCTCTTATTGATATTATAATCTAACGATGTTGGAGAATGGTAGGCAAAGGTAGACAAAAAAAAATGATAAGTAAAATATCATATCCCAATTAAGATATACTAAACAAACACTACGTTTGAGGGGATAAACTTTTGATATATTGGTTTTGGGTTTTGTTTTTTAGAATAATAATTTTGCAGTTACTACAGATAAATTATCTGCATTTATTTCCAAAACGACGTCATTTTGGGATTACAAAATTAAATAGTTATAATTATAAAGACAATAATAACCCTAAAATAAATTAAAATTACAAAAACAACATGATTTCCGCCCCAAAACAACGTCGTATTATGCTTACTACTGCAGATAAGTTATCTGCAGTAACTACAGAAAAAGTGAACCCTTTGTTTTTATCATGTTACATGACAAGAAACTATTTTTCTATATATTTATAATATATGTGGGGTCCGTTAAATAGTGGAGTGAGAAAAAAAAATCAAAAGTGAGACCCAACTTGAATTGTGTATGTAAGAAATTGATTTCTTGTCATGTAACATGACAAACAATTTCCCCATTGTAGAAAAATATTTCTGCAGTTATTGCAGATAAATTATCTGCATTTAATCTCAAAACTGCGTCGTTTTGGTATTGAAAGATTAAAAAATTATAATTATAAATACTATAATAACTCTGAAATAAATTAAAATTATAAAAATACCATGATTTCTGCCCCAAAATAATGTCGTAGTGACTAGTGAGCTTACTGCATATAACTTATCTACACTAACTGCAGAAAAAACGAATCTTTTTTTTAAACTATAAATAAAGTCTAAAACAAAGGTTATACTAAATTGAGAGGCTTTTTGACCCTTTTGCCCTTCATTAATTAATTAATAACTATTTTGTCCCTTATTCAAAATTATCTACCAATCTGTCTCTTTTTAATCGATTAAATTGAAGTTTTAATCAATTAAATGGTCAAAACTGGGAAAAATAGTTGACTTGAAGATTTAATCGATTAAATCTCCCTCTTAATCGATTAAATCAGACTTCTTCAACGACGACTAAGGGTGCATATTAAATCTTTAATCGATTAAATTGGGAGATTTAATCGATTAAATCTCGAGTCACTCATTTAATCGATTAAATATTCAAGTTAATCGATTAAAGAGGAGCAGATTGGTAGATAGTTTACAATAAAGAATAAAATGATTATTAATTAATTAATGAGGGACAAAAAGGTAAAAAGGCCTAAATTGAGAGGTTTCCCCCTCCTATGTCCTAATCCTCTCTAATTGAATAGGTAAGTCCTATGATGCACGGACACGGACACGGGACACGACACGACACGACACGCCGACACGTTAATTCTAAAAAATGTCATATTTGGACACGTTGGGACACATTTTGATATTAAATAAATTTTTTAATATATATAATATGATTTATATTTAATACATATAAGAGTCCATAATAAGTCATATAACCAATTAAATATTTAAATTTCATAACATAAATATAAATATAAATAATTTTTCGTAGTTTGTTAATTTTTAATGTCAAATTTTATAACAGAAAAAAATTAATTTATAAATTATTTCTTTTATATTTAGTTAACAAAATAAAGTTAAGATTTAAAAAAAAAAAAAAAAAAAACGTGTCCGAGCGTGTCCTCAAATATTGACCGCGTGTCAGAACGTGTCGGAGAGTTGACCGCATGTCCCCAAATGTTGACCGCGTGTCGGACGCGTGTCCGAGCGTGTCCGTGTCAGACGTGTCCGACACGTAAATTTGAGAAATTTCCGCGTGTCCGTGTAACGGAGGGTAAGTCAACTATGGCGTTAGAAAGATAATTATAATAAAAGCGATGAATAATGTGTGGCAGTGATTAATGATTATTATGTTATGTTATAGAAGCTGCTTTTATCTTATACTTATGGGATTTGCATTTATCATTTAATATGACACAACAAACTTTTCTACACACATAATATTTTGTGGAGCCCACACTTTTTGAAAAAAAAGAAAAAAAAAATTATGGCACGCAAAACGAATCTCTATAACATTACACAATCACTTTTTCTACAACATAACTCTTATAAAACCCTTTATTTATACTTAAAAGTACGAAGGACCCCTTGTATTAAAAAAAAAAAGTACGAAGGATCCATGTGAAGAGAAGTTAGAAAAAAATTATGAACTCCACATATTTTTATATAAGTAAAAAATAAAAAAAATTATAATATAAGAAACATTAATCCTTAATTTATTATAAGTTTAATATTTCTGCAGTCGATAAAAATAAATTATTTCCAATAAGTCAAATATAATGTAATTTCGTCCGAATTGAGAAAAATGTATCTTTATAATTTTAATATATTATAAAATTATATTATTCTTTATTATTATAATTTTTTATTGTTTAAATCTGAAATCACGTCATTTTAAACAAACAGTAAACCCATTGTATAATATGTAAAGCAATATATATTAAATGTTACGGAATAAAATTTATTTACTTTCGGAGTCTTAACTGTAGTTACTCTCTTCTCTGGTTAGCGTCCACAATCATGAGCACCGAAGCCAGCAAAGATCCAAAGTCCGTGTACGATTTTTCCGTCAAGGTTGTCTGCTTTTTCTCTTTCATCTAACATGCTTCATCTTATCCGGTTTTTCTCTCTTTCTGCTTTGACTGATTTCGATAAACTAGGTCTAGGACTATTACCTTAAATCGGAACTTTTTATTCTATTACAATGTTTCTTTTTCTTTTTTGCTTAGAATATGTATTTGACCAACCCAACCATATCAACTTAGCAGTCTATGCTATCAAGGATGAAGGTGTTTATGTATGCCTTAGGAAAATATGTATCACGATGTCAATTCGTGATTATTAAATATTCTGTTGCAATTTTTGTCCATTCACTTGCAGGATGCTAAGGGTGATGATGTAGATCTTGCCACTTACAAGGGAAAAGTCCTGCTAATTGCCAATGTTGCTTCCAAATGGTTTCCCTCTCTGCTTTACTTTTTATATCTCATCTCATATATATATATAAACTTTTCGGTGTTCTAGCCCCAATTATGTACTAAATAAAATAAAATAATAAAAAAAAAAAAAAACGTTTCAGCAGGAATTTATTGATTTTTAAACTGTTTTGAAATTCTCATAAATGTGAAAATATTTATAATTCTTGTTTGTTTGGGATGGAGGCAGTGGCATGACCAACTCAAACTATGTGGAGTTGAATCAACTATATGAGAAGTACAAAGACAAAGGTTTGTAATTATAATACTTTTATTGTTTCATGTATGTCATTTCAAACTATAAATATCATATATGCAGGTTGCTTGTTAATGTTCCTCTTTAAGATTTGGGCTTGTGTTAATCTTATTACCTTAAAAGGAGGAACCCTGTTGACTGAGTTGGATTGTTTGATTAGGCCTGGAGATTCTGGCATTTCCATGTAATCAATTTGGGGATGAAGAACCCGGAAGCAATGATCAAATTGTGGAGTTCGTCTGCACACGCTTCAAATCAGAATTCCCCATTTTTGATAAGGTAGTGTTGAACATATAAGCTTGGAAAGCTTTGTTTTAGTCACCATTAAATTTTATTCAAATGTTCTCTTCCAAGTTCCAATTTCTTTGAGATACCTATGCTAGAGATTTTGTGCCTTTGCCTTATGTTTAGTGATTTGCCATGTGTATTGGAAACAAGATCACATATATGATATTTTCATGTGCTTTAGAGACTCAACAACTATGAACTTAAAATGCTGCTTGACTAATTATAGTTAATTGGATAAAGATAATTTGATTACTGCTATTGTGTGTTAACTTGTGCTAAATTCATTGAAGAACTGTGACATGCAAGGAATCATAAATTCACCTCCTCTGTTATATTGTGATAGATTGAAGTGAATGGGGACAATTCTGCTCCTTTGTATAAATTCTTAAAGTTAGGAAAGTGGGGATTTTTTGGTGATGATATTCAGTGGAACTTTGCAAAGTTTTTGGTTGACAAGGATGGGCAAGTGGTGGATCGTTATTATCCCACGACTTCTCCTCTTAGCCTTGAGGTAAAGACAGTAACGTCATAATATTTATTATTCTAGAAATTCAAATGGTTTATGCTGCCTTTGTAATTCTTATGGCATCTTTTATTGTATTGCAGAGAGACATCCGTAAGCTACTTGGTATTGTATGAAACTATGAATGCAAGGATGCACGAGCATGTCTAAGCATCTGTTCTTGTCTTTTTTGTGTTTCCTTTGCCAAGTCTTAATTTTGTGGATAAAGCTTTTTGCCAAACTGAACAAGACCTGCTTATCGTGCCTGGTTTTATTGGGATGAACCAACCTGGAATAATGATGAAGTTAGTTTTTTTGGACCAAATAAATAGTCATTAGCTTGAATCATCCCTACCCCCAGTTTTCATAAGAAATTCTTTTTTTTTTCAGTTAAATTATAACAATCAACTTCCTTTATGTCAAATATTATAAAAGTTCAATAATAATAGAAATATGATCAAATCATTCCCATTTTCACATATTTTAAAATGTGAGTTCCAACCTTGAAGAGTTGAGGAACAACTTCATATAAGAAAGCAGCCTCAGCTATCTTAAAAAGATATAATATAAAATCATTAGAAGTCCATTATTTATAAGCTTAAATATTTGAATTGAATTGGTTATTTATATGGTATTAGAAATAAGGTAATCAATGAGTCATGACTTCGATTTTTACCACCCCTCTTTATAGTGGAATTAGATCAAAGACAAGGTAGCACCAAAAAATGGGTATATACAATATTTATGCTTTTAAGTTCAAAGGCGCTTTTACGTGAGGGGATATGCTAAAAAGAAATATAATATAAAATTATTGAAGGTTCATCACTTAAAAGTTTAAATTTTTTTGTTGAATTATATTTGTACCATAATTTAAGGGTTATTGTGTGTTAGAAAAATTAAAGCTTATTTATGAAAAATATAAGAGGCTAAATCACAGAGTCAATGTGCAATTTATCTATAAAATGAAATCGTTTCGAAAAGAAAATAAAAGAAAAGATTCTTACTTCTCAGCCCTAATCTTTTGTTCGTTTTTTTTTTTTTTTTCGTTTTTTTTTTACCATGATGAATCAAATAATTAAATATACTTTTGTATTGTTTTAAATCAAATAATATGTATTTGAATTATTTTTTTTTTTTTTTTTTTTTGGGGTGGGGTGGGGAGGTCGATTTTTTAAAGAACAGTATGAGATAACTTAAAGAAAAAAAATTGTTTTCCCAAAGTAATAAGTAATCGAACATGCACTTGCTATTTTAAAAAAATAGTCCAAATCAATTACTAAAATATATTGACAAGAGTGGTTCTTATAAACTTGGGACAACTAATCGTTTCCTTTAAGCATTGTTGCCTTCATCAGGTTACCAAATTGGCAAATTTATGTACAAATAATTAATTAACGCATTACAAAATTAACAAATCAACGAAAAACATAATAGATTAAAAAGAAGTTTAAAAAATAATAAGATACGTGTTAGTCGAGGTAGTGGTCGATAGTCTATTAGTCTTGGTTCATTCCAGCAGATACCACATTAGTCCAAAATGACATCACAATCACTCCGTAAATTATAAGATATAATGGAACATGATAGTCGCATTGCGTCTATATATGAATGTTTAAATTATGCTGAGATGATTCTTCCGTTTCTGTAATGAGGAATCGAAAAGCTGATTTACACACCAGGGGTTAGAAAAAGCAATAATGATGTAAGTAGCATCATCACTGTGTGGCTATATAATATTAGTGAGGGATTGAACCAAATCAAGCATAACCTTTTTATGGAATCAACACGAGATGGTTTGGACTCTAGAGTAATGTAGTGTACTTGATAACTTTCATCCATAAATTTCTTGATAACCCTGAATGAATCATTTGTTTCACAGCATATGTTAGTGCAAACTTGTCAGCCACCAATGGGGATAACAAGTAGAGTCACAATGCTCACAAACTCAAGTTCATTTACAACAACAGGTATATACAAAACTGCAATGTCTCTTCCAAAATGAAATTTCACCCGCGTGTCAAGTCAATGCCAGTATGTGTGTGCGGGCTTTTCAACTCTGCTGGTCGTGATCCATGCCACATGCTTGTTGCAGAAGGCATGTAGTTCTGACTAGGTGGAGCACTAGCTGGAGAACCTAACTTGTCACTGTGATGAGGCTCAGAACTTTCATCTTGGTTAGTGGTCCCTTGCTTAGTCTTTGTCTTAGAGCCACCATATACAAAACTGCACACTACCACCTGCACCAAGCAAAGGCTTCATTAGTATATCTACTTCTTTTTGGGTTAATGGGAAGGATCCTATGATGCAGAAAACTGTGAAGTATTATTGAACATCCCTACCAACCCATAAGCTTATCAGGAAAACTATACAAGTATGAATAACACCAAAACCATATTAGCATCCCTATCTCTGTTGCCTCAACTCATTCAAAAATCCTTGTATTTGTTTTAACATATTGTTCCAGCATTATTAAACATGTAAAAATAAGAATAACCAGCATTTCAAGGATATGGTAAGTTTTAGGTAAATCAAGAATATACCTGCACTGGGCTTCCAGCAATAAGCATAGCAACAGCGCCACCAATAACATGACCATCAGGGCTAGAAAGGGAAACACTTAGGCCGCCTGTTCTATTTGAGGGTCCACCCTCTTCAGCAACCAGGTAAGAACCAGACAAGCATAATATTTGGAATCGACCCTGCAAAAGTTAAAAAGTAAGTTTTGTAATACACTATAAGAACCAACCTTAGGCACACTAAGCAGTACTAATTAGTGCTTTAACCTCATAAGTTATACTGGCATTGGTAGTAGCAGGTTGTCGCAGAGTAACTGAAGAAACTGTCCCAGTGCCCGACATGATGCACAGAGCCCTTGGTCTCTGCTGTGATAATGACAGTAACTTTGCTACAATGTCCTAAAACAATGAAAATCTATCATTCAAGGAACTTCTGAATTAATGTGCAACAATAAGCACGAATCTTTAAGGTTTACACGATGAATAAAGTAATTGTGCTTATTATTTGAAAACTCAAATCGAAATTAGATGACTCTATCAAGTAGTATCATCAGTGGTGCATGCAAGCAACAACCATCTTTATGTGCGAGTAATCTCCTCCACTTTATATTCTGTTGATAAACCCAGTCTATGTGACAACTCCGTCCATGTGTGCATTCAGTGATTTCCAATTATATAAATCATCTATGAGAACTATCATATAAATATTATCCTGAATAGAAATGGAGAAGCACACTTTAAAAAAAAGGAATAATTTCTCTCCCCATTATTGTTTTTCTAAAGATACGCATTTTAGATCTGTATGGATGGAGCCTGGAATATTCTTCTCTAAAATCACTGAAAGCAAATTTTCTAAATCCAGAGAATCATTTTGTTATCCTATGTTGATATCAACAATGGTTTTAGTGCTACTAGAACAATAGGCCATTAAAATTTGCCCGCCAAGAGCAAACCAACATTTACGACAAATTCATCCTCTTTAGAGGTATACATGCCCACAACATCTTCGCATTCAAGAATAAGAATAAGAAAACTAAATAAGAGCGCAAAATCTATATTGCTTATGAACTGGAAGAATATATAGCTACCTCCCCAACTCCAATAGTGATAACATGAGGTGAAAAGGCCTGCCCTGCTGAACTATTCATCCATTCACCTACTAGGTGATAAACAAATATGTTAAAATTCCGAACACTTTGAAACAAATAAATGAAGATAATATTACTTGTTAATACCACGGGTTACCACCAAACAAACAGAAAACAGTTGCATTAGAAGGATAAGGGAAAAGTGCAAACTCTAGTGTCTAATTTTTCATGAATTTTAAATCCAGGACTGCCAAGTGATTATTGCAGTCAGTACACAAGCTCAACACCAGGAATCATAATAATTGCTACCCGTTTCTGTATAATTGCCTCAGCTTAACCAGTCTTATATATGTCCAGGAAATCCATTTATGGCAACTACGTTTACTTCAGGATTCACGACTATCAAGTTATCATATGAAAAGAAACCAAATTATAGAATGTCAATAATCTGGCATTGGTTAACCACCAACTTAGAACAAATAATGGCAAAGAATTAGAAAACAGAAAAGTCAAAGATAATGTGTCTAGAAAAGGAAAAATAACACCAACGCAAAATAATGCATTTTAAAACAGATTTTAGCAATATGTAAACACAGCCATTCACCACCTGTACTGTAGTGTAGATCATAATGATAACAAAATGAAAGTTTAATAGCATAAATCTCAACAGGATATTTATCAGGAATTTAAACATTTCATCTACTTCTGCACTGAAATCAAAGCACAAATAGTCAAATACTGAAGAGCAAATTTCCATGCATCTAGAAACTATTAACCACATTGCAAATAGGATCAACAAAAAATGATAATTCTCAAACAAATATACCTAGAGCTGCTAGTTGTTGCTTCCTTCCAGACCCAGGTGGGCGCCCTCTACCCCTTTTATTGGAAGTTGTGATTGAACCTGGGGTAGAATTAGCAGGGGCAGACATTGGAGACAGTCTCAAAGAAACTTGTCCATCAGGACCATATTTACGAGGTCTCCCTCTTTTCTTTTTCACAGGCTCACCTGAAGGTACCCCAGAAGAGGCTCCAATGCTAATACCGTGACTAAAATTGGCACGAGTTTGAGGCTCTACTGAAAAAGTTGAACTAGAACCAACAGAACCACCCTGATCCCGGGGATTAGACTGAGCTGGAAAGCCAGCGTTTGACAAAGCTCTGAAACCATGGGGTGCATGGAACCCCCCTGTTTGTGTTCCAGAGCCAGACCCTGCAACACCTCCTCTATGCATATAATATGAAGCAGGGCCACCAGAGAATGACATAGCTTCTCTCCCATCCATGCATTTACTACGAGATTTGTGAGAAATACACAAAAATTCTGGTACCTATGCAACTATGTTAAAATCCTCCTCAACCCACCCAAAGCTAACTTCTTAGGCTACCAAACAGGTGAAGATACTAAAACGGGTTTTACCAGGTTTACTCCTAATGGGGAAAAGCAAAAGGCTCAATCAATGATAGAAAGATTGGATTTTTAACACAAAAGCAACTACGAGAGAACGGGATCTAAAACCCAGTAGCTCTATAGATATTCACCAACAAGCTCAAAGACTTGGTGAAGTGAATGCAAGGCTTTTGTTCGCCTCCACAAATCTAAGAACCCCACAAAAGATCAAACACTCGTAGCAAGGAGAAAGGACATAATTTTAGAGCTCAAACAGGGTCACTATTGAAAACCCATAACAGAGGTCACAAAAGAAAAAAAAATGTAGTAGCATCAGAAGCTTAGATTACAGACAGAAAACTCAAACTAGCAAGTGGGCAGAATCATGTCGGAAAGAAAACAAAACCCTAGATTTGAAATCTAGGGTTTTGACAGAAGAATGCAGGAGTCAGTAGGAAGAGGTGGTGGAAAAGGAAAGGAAGAAAAGACAAAGAGGGAGACTTGGGAGTTGAAAAGGAAAAAAATAAAATAAAATAGAATAAAAAATTGAGCTTTTGAACTAAAGTGGGTTAGTGAAGTGTGTGTGTGTGTGTTTGTGTGAAACAGATGGCTGTACATTGAGTAAAAGACCCTTTTCTTAATTGTTTGTACAGTGGTCACTAGTCACTGACCAACAAGGCAGAAAAAGCAAACATAACAACAAAACTAGACCAACAGGAACGGCAGAGTTGTGGGCATTGGAGGGAAAGTGTACCCTCCTCCCAAAGTACCAAAACTGATGTCTTTTTTGTTTTTCTTTTTTTTTTCGGATGCACACTTCTTACTTCTTTTTATGAGTTTTTTCTTCTTCTTCTTCTTCTTTTTTTATAAACACTTTTTATGAGTTTTTAACTTTTAATTACTTGTGAGCCTTTCTAATTGTTTGTGAGCCTTTGCTTCACTACGAGTATGAGTTTTTAACTTTTAATTACTTGCAAATTAAACTTTTTTTTAGTTCTGAAGATAAATAAGTAAGGGAATTATACATGTTATGTTACAGGAAAAATTGAATTCATTCCTACACTAATAAAAATTTGTGGATCCCACTAACTAAAAAAGTTTAAAAAAAACAAAATAAAAATCACCACAATCAATGTATTAGTAAGAAAGATATTGCTTTTTGGGAAATCCAATTGTCATGTAACATAACAATCAAAACATATCTTGCTCATACATCGAAAATCCCCCTTTTCTTTTATTTTATTTCTTTCTTTTTTTTAATTAGCCCCACCATAATTTTGTTTCTGCAGAAAAACTATTCATCGCTCCTGTAACAGCATGAAAGCAAATCCCTTGTTTTTTTCTGCAATAGATACAAACAACACCCAATAAGTAATCTATTTGTCTAAGAGTTTGTTGTTAGAAAAGTAAATTGTGGTATAATTCTTTATTTTGGTACATTGAGCAAAGAAAAATAGAATTTGATATTAGATGTTTATATTTACTAAAAGATTTAATATCTTCATTGCAAGTTAGAGATAAAATTACCTCATAAATACATAGGATTGAATAGAGTTTTTTTTTCTCTCTTTTTCCTTCTCACAATGCAGCTCTGCTAACTTCTCTATATTTGTGTAAGATAATTTTATATCTAGATTGCAGATAAATATTAAACTATTATTTTAAATAATATTATTGTGATATATTTAACAACATTTTAATGAAAAAATTATCAAATTGAATGACAATGATTTTTTTTAGTAGAAACGATAATATTTTGAAATTATAAAAAAAACCTAGAGTGACTTTATTTAGGCTAAAATATGGTGAAATACGATTAAAATCTTTTCATATGATGTGAGGTTATGTGAGTGGATTTTAACCCTTGAAATACAAATCAATAGTGATGGAATAGGGTTAGCTTTAATTTGCATTTATAATATCGTATGACATGAACTTATATTAGATAAATTTTGCATAAAGTCATTAAAATTGGTCTAGTAATAAGGGATAAGGCAGTTTACATGAGATAACAGATTCAAAATTCAGTGTCATTATTTGTACAAAAAAAATAAAAAAATAACTTTTGCATGTAAAATTACTTTAGATATATATTTAATTTTATTTTTAAAAATAATATTACTTTTTTCTCGTAAGACTCTTTAAAAGTGAAAAAAATCTAAAATATACAATCGATGGTGTATCCATCATTAAAATTGTAAGGGACAAAATTTCTAAACACAGTACGGCGTTGTTCCACGAAGCACCGTCATTTTTGCAGGTTGCACTTGCACCCTTTCTTCTGTACTAGTTCAACTTCACAGTAAATATGCTTCAATCACTTGCGTAGAATATGTGTATTCCTAGGTACGATGGAGTGCTTGGTAGAGGACAGATTTTTTTTTTTTTCTTTTTTTTTTATAAAAGTGGAGGGCTTAGCCTAGTAGAATTAAATTGAAAGCTGATGTATGTCAAAAGAAACATGTTCCATCAGCAGAAAGCTACAAAATTATTTCCAAAAAGGAAGAATACTTGTAAGGGAAGAGGAATACACATTCAACTCTTCACCCCTACCTTTCCAACCTAAAGAAGCTAACCTGTCAGCACAGGAATTAAATTCTCTCGGAACATACTCAAGATAAACATGTTCCAAGGAATGAACAATTTGTTTCAGTTGAGGAGTTAATACAAAAAATAGCTTCCTTGCTATCACAGTCGATCCATACTTCCTTGAAATTCAGATCCTTCACTAATTGAAGTCCCTGCCAAATTCCCCAAAGCTCAGCTTCAAGGCAAGAACAGCTGCCAATATTGAGAGAGAAGCCAGATAACCACTCACCCTTAGAGTTGCAAATAAAACCTCCACAAACTCCAGCTTTGGTGTTCAAGTTGACAGCTCCATCAACCAAGATTTTAACAGCTTCCTTTTGAGCATTACTACAGCAACCAATAAAAGAGGAATTCTGTATTTGCACATGGGAAAAAGGATCCCTGCTGCAACATGTTTTCATATCTTTTAAATAAATCAGTATCCTACTCAAAGGATCCCCAGGCCAAGAGAACATGTTATCATGTACCATATGGTTTCACCAATGCCATAAGAACCAACAAGTGACAAAAAAGGCTTCATTCCAGGATTGCCAGTAAATGGATGAGAAGGACTTACAAACATTGAGCTTAAACCAATTGATACCCTCTGCTGCCAAAAAGGCTTCTGGTACATTTCCTCCAAACCATTGCTCCCAAAACACTTCTGGCTCTTTTGCAATCACGCAGCACATGCAAGATTGTCTCTTGGTTGTCAAAACAGCTGGGACAGGATGTCTCTCCACCACTCCAAAGTTCAGTAATGCTTCTAACAGGGAGCTTGTTCAAACAAGCCAGCCATAAGAATGATGCAATCCTATATGGTCCTTTCCATTTCCAAATAAAAGACCAAAGCTTATCTTTTCCAACATAAAGATCAGTTAGCTGACAGTAAGCATTCCTAACCATAGATCTATAAGCACTATGTCTGATCCAACACAGCCTATCATTCAGACCATAAGATGAAGGGGACAGAGTACTTGCAGCTTCCTAATAATGCCATCATCAAGGTAATTTTTCAAATACTCCCACTTCCAGCCTCCTACTCCATGCGCAACCAAATCACAGACTTTTAGACCCAAATCTGTGTTGGGAGGCTTAACACAAGCAAGCTCATATGAGCTGGAATTCCAACCATTCCAACAGTCTACCCAAAAAAGCACATATTTGCCATTTCCAACTTCCCAAGTCAAATGAGGGTCCATCTTAACTCTGGCCGAACAGATACTCTTCCATAGAGGGGAGTCCCCTTGTTTAACAATAAATCCTCTTCTAGGATCTTGCTTCCTACCATATTTATCAAGTAAAACTTTGGACCAAAGACTCTCTTGATCATTGATGAGCATCCAATAAATCTTTTGCATAAAAGCCTCATTCTGAAATCTGAGCTTTATAATACCAAGGCCCCCACAGTCTTTAGGTTTACAGAGTTGGACCCAAGCAACATAGTGTGCCTTTCTTTTCGTATCTGAATCCCCCCAAATGAAATTTCGCTGCAATCTCTCAATGTCCTGGCATATATGGCTTGGCAAAGTATTATTTTGCATATGATACATTGGGATTGCTGAAATCACACTCTCAGCCAAAGTAATTCTCCCAGCCAAAGACAAACATTTAGATTTCCATCCTCGTAGCCTATTATGCACTCTAGCTATGACACTAGCATAGTGTGTTCTACTAGCCCTCCCATGCCTCATGAGAGCTCCCAAGTAGCAACCAATATTCTTAACTACCTTGAAGCCACTTACATCTGAAATAGAATCAACAATCCCCAGAGGGGTATTCCTAGAGAAATAGATGCATGATTTCTCCATACTCACACATTAACCTGACATTCTGAAAAACTTAACCAAGCAGTCAGACACACAAGCTAGTTGGCTTAAGGAAGCTTCAGCAAATATGATGATGTCATCAACAAACATCAAATGGGAAATCTGTGGCCCTGACCTACCAGCCTTAATTGGCTGCCAATTATTTCTTTCCACTTCATCCATTATTAGGTGTGTAAGTTTTTCCATACAAAGAACAAACAGGTAGGGTGAAAGTAGGTCCCCTTGCCTAATTCCCCTTTGAGGAAGAAAACCAGAAGTTCTAGCATCATTCCATAGCACTTCAATGAAAGGTGTAGTGACACAGCCCATAATAGCAGCAATCAAATCACTAGGGAGCTTCACCTCTCCAAGCACTGATTTAATAAATCCCCAATTGAGCCTGTCATATGCCTTCTCCAAGTAAATCTTGATTGAAAAGAAGCTCTTCTTTCCATTCATCCTATGCATGGAGTGAATAAGCTCTTGGACAATAATGATGTTGTCCTGAATATTCCTATTAGGAATAAAACTCACCTGGTTAGGAGCAATGAGATTTCCTATAAAAGGTTTAATTTTATTCACCAGAATTTTACTTAAGCCTTTATAGACTGTATTGCATAAAGCAATAGGTCTAAATTGCTTCATGAAGCAGGGCTTATCCACCTTGGGAATCAAAGCAAGAAGAGTATGGCTGATCTCCCTTATTTGATCCGGCTTGGAAAGGTACCACTTCATACTATTAAACACTTGCTCTTTGACCAAATCCAAATTTCAGTGATAAAATAGCGCAGGAAACCCATCAGGTCCTGGAGTTTTCATTGGAGGCATCTGGAAAAAGGCCTTTCTAACTTCCTCAGAAGAGATATCCAAAGACAGAAGATGCCTATCCTCCTCCCTGAGAGCTGGCCAGGAAGAAACAGTATTGATCCATTCAGCTATAGGAAGATCTTCTTTGAATAAATTAAAGAAAAAATCCCTAGCTAGCTGAATTAAGTCATCCTCTCCAAAAACCCATCCACCACCACTGTTCTGAAGTTTTAAAATTTTATTTCTCTTCCTTCGGATCAAGGTCCTAGTGTGGTAAAATCCGGTATTTCTATCACCCCCATTGATCCACTCCCCTCTTGATTTTTGATACTAGATTAATTCCTCTTGATCTAGGATCTCAGTTAATTCCTGGATTAACTTA